CGTGTGTGGCTGTTCAGTGCTCGCTTACCCCAGACCATCAGGCCCTGCCTTGCTCTCCTCCCGCTGTGCCCACCCCAACACCTCCCTGTCCTCCCAGCACCCCTCTGCCCCCCTCCATCCAGCACTGCCAGTCCCTTGTCCCTCTGCCGGGCAGGAGCAGCACACACCTTGACCGTGCGGATGTAATCCAGGGCGTTGGGGACCAGGGACTCCAGCTCGGGGAATCGCTTGGAGTACTTAGGCCCTGCCTTGCTCTCCTCCCGCTGTGCCCACCCCAACACCTCCCTGTCCTCCCAGCACCCCTCTGCCCCCCTCCATCCAGCACTGCCAGTCCCTTGTCCCTCTGCCGGGCAGGAGCAGCACACACCTTGACCGTGCGGATGTAATCCAGGGCGTTGGGGACCAGGGACTCCAGCTCGGGGAATCGCTTGGAGTACTTATCCCGGATGAACTTGTGGATGATGTCTGGTGGGACACGAAGTGGGAGGGGAAGACACCTCACCCGGTTAGTTACTGGGGCAGATGAAAATTGGGGGTGCAGCCCTGAAAATCCTCCGGGGGGGGGGGGTCTTTGACTTCTGTTACAGAAGGCCCCAGACTTGCAGAGCAGCTCGGTCTAGCACCCAGGTCCTGTGCGGTTGTATGTAGACGAGCACTGGGGATTACCCCCTCTGGCTAGCTCACCAACGCCATCTCTAGGCACTGAACTGCTCCGCCCTTCTTTATCTCCATTTCACAGGCGGGGAAACAGAGGCACAGAGCCCGGCACAGCTTCGCTGGGAATAAACCTAGCTCCCAAGTGCTCTAACCACAAGGCCACACAGTCTGCCTTTCCAGCAGAATTCACCTTTCGCTGCCTGTTCTCGGCTCTCACAAGCTCAAAGCCCCAAGTCGGAAGTTTTGGCTTCTCGCTCCGAGTCAGAGCAAGGAGAGGCCGCACAGCTGGGTCCGCCAGGAGCGCATCCCTACGGGGCAGATGCTCTGTAGGCTCACAGAAGGGGCCCGGAGATCATCAGATGTGACCCGCACAAGGCAGGCCAGAGAACTTCCTGGTTGTTTGAAGCGGCCAGTCCCAGACCCACAAGGGCACAGCCCCCCACCGAGGGGCCCTGGACCAGCAGCCTTCCTCCCTGAGCAAGGCCGAGGTGCTGCCTAACCTCCAGTGACATAGGTGGGCTGGGGCTGAGATGAAGAACAGGACCATTTCACCCAAGCCCTCACTGACTGGGAAAGGGGCGCAGGTGCTCTGGGCAGGGTGGAAGACCAAGACCATGGACTTTCTGAGCTCTGATGTCGAGGCTGAGAAGAGATTGAGGGTCCAATGGCTGGAGATGCAGCTGCCCCTGCAAACAGCCAGAAGAAAGGAGCACGGCTCCTCTCCCCAACTGGGGACCAGTCCATGCTCCCATGGGCTCACACAATGAGAGACTTGAAGTGGGACATTGCACCCCATATTCTTTATGGAAATATGCTTATGAATATGCATAACTGGAAGATGCTTAATGCAAAATACATCTTGTAAGATACTAGAAGAGGAACAATCTGCTGAATGTGTATACAAGCAGTCCCCGGGTTACATGGATCCGACTTACATCGGATCACTACTTACAAACGGGGTGAGGTAACCCCGCACTAGCTGCTTCCCCCCAGCAGACCACGGAGACACAAAGCTAGCACCCCCCCACCACGGCAGACCAGGGAGACCATTGTTCAACTTAAGAACAATCCTACAGTCCCTATCTTGTACATAACCCGGGGACTGCCTGTATTCCAATTGTGTGCCTGCACCATTCCTGCATTTGAACTTAGAAATGTGAGGTATAAACCTGTTTACTAATCTAGACATGCTAAAGGAGGGCCGGGAGTAGTATTCGAGGAACTTAATGGCCTAGAACTCAGCACAAGCTGGGAATAGTCTTGGTTTTCTTGTAAGCCTGGACTATGGTTGGTCCTGCCAAGGCATGGGGCCAGGCCACCGAATGCCGGAACCCATTTTGCATGCTGTACTTCTCTATGGGAAGTGTGAAAAAAATTAAACTGAACACAAAGGGTTCCTGCCTTTGGCAAAAAGGATATAAAGGCAGGAAATCAAACAGAGTGGCTGGCAGTCCTCAGGACACCCCTTCTTGCCCCCAAAAATGGCTCACCACAGGGGGAAGGATTAGGCCCAAGTTGGGAGGCTTCCCAGCTTGTGAGAAAAGAGGATTAGGATGACTGTTAGGGTAAGAGTGAATGTAACAAGTTTCTTAAGAGTATTAGGCTTAGCTGACCCATTTTGCTTAGTAACTTCCTTTGATCTGTCTGCTATCACTTGCAACAACAACTCAAATCCTACTTCTCATACTTTGTAAAATCATTTTGTGTATTAATAAACCCAGTGTAAATACTGGCGGGAGGGGGATATAACCGCTGCACATTTCTCTCTTTCATTGATAAAGGGGGCAAACAACTTATGAGCTTGCTCTGCATAAACCCATCTTACTCCATATAAAGTTTTATCTGGGGCTGTGGCAAGTTCTTGTGACTGAGTCTTCCCAGAGCTGATGTGATCTTAGTGCCTGTGTTGTTCTGCTGTGGGCCGTGACCCCGCCCCTATGCCAACACTGGAGGAGACCAGACGGCCTAGCTCAGCAGGACAGGGTGGTGGGGTGTCCCACAGGGCAGGTGGGCCCAGTGGTATTTCAGCACATCAAGTGACCGTGTCAAGGGGATCTCTCTGAGTGAATCCATCGCAGGGAGCACCAGCCAAAGGGGATGGAGCCCTCCCCCCCCCAATACACTGGCTCCTCACCCCACAAATTTCTCTTATGGCAACACCCGCCTCAAGGCACCTACTCACTCAGTTCATTCTCGATCTCCACTGTCAGGTTATTGGCATCAGGCCCCATCACTGAGGGGAGAATGCACCGGGGCTGTTTGAGGTACTGGGGGTGCAGTGCTGCAGGGAGCTGGGGGAGGGGGAGCACTCAGCAGGGGCTGCTCTCAGCTGACAGGCAGGGCTGGGCCCAATGCACTGTGCTTCAGGAGATGGGGTGGGGCTCAGCAGGGGGCCCTCTCCCCCTGGCAGTCAGGGATGATCCCAGTGTCCTACAGGATGCTAGGGGTGCTGTGGAGCAGGGTTGAGGGCTCAGTAGGGGGTTTTCTGTCCCCATAGACAGTGCTGACATATAAGCACTATGATGTTGGATTCCAAGGGATTCCCTCCCATCTCCCCCACCCCCGGTACCTTCCGTGGCTTTGGACTGTTTGCTGATATACTCCTCAATCTTCACCATGATCTCCGCAAACTGCCGAGAGAAAACACAACAGGCTCTTTCGTACTGAGAAAAGGCGAAGCGAGTAGGGCAGCAGGAGGTGCTCTCCCCTCGGAATCAGGACTGACCCCCAC